GGCGGCGCGGCGGGGCGCGATGGCGAAAGTGCTGGCGGCCCTGAGGAACCACTGGAAGAAATCCACCTTCGGGGCCTGCCTGCTGGGCTGGGGCGGACACTGGCTCTATGGGAAGCACTGGTAATGCCGGCTGGAGCCGGGCCGGGCGGGGAGGCGGCGGGCAGAGATGGAGGGACGGGCAGCGCCTAAGATGGGGGTCGCCTGTCGGAGGGCCCGGCAGGCAGAGGGGATGGCTCGGGCTCCCTCCAGCTTCAGCAGCTGTGGGCGTGGGAAGCTCACAGCCTTTTCCTGCCTTCCCACGTCGGCCGTGGTGTAACAGTGGGGCGGGTTCAGGCGGGAGGTTTAAACAGAGGGGATGTGGCTGGCGTGAGCAATGTTGGGGCCTCCTGGAGAGGAGACGGTTCTCTGTCTTCTAACCTAAAAATTAATGTCATGAGCCATAGCGTGCCTTCAGCTTGCTTGCTTTTCGGCTGTGTTATGAGGATGGCTGGCACCAGGCCTGCAGGATGTGCTGAGCGTGGCCCATCCCAGCGTGGTGGCCCTGTGGCGGTGGGTGCTCCCACCTCCCCCTTTCCCACCTCCTTTTTGCCGGAGCTGAAGTCCTTGGCTCTTCCTTGAGGCCTGGCACCGGCAGCCTTGTGCTGTCCCTCCCTGCTGTGGTGTTTGCTGTTGTCGCCCACCCAGCGTGGAAGGAGCCTGTCAGCTCCTCCTCCCATGAGTTACACCTAGTGGTGTCATTCCCACTGCTTACCTGTGGAATAAATGTAAATTTACAGTAAGTAAAATCCTCACTGGTGTTCTTTAAAAAGCTGAGTTTATATTTTTAATTCTCGTCCTTCAAGATTATGGTTAATACATTTAACCGAAAAGCAGGTGTAGGCAAATTATTTTTCAAAACTTATTTTTGGTTCTGCTGTTTATTATCACTATCTTAATGATTTTTAAGTGTTTTGTCAGGTTTTTAACAGTGCCCTTTTCTGCTTACATTGTAGTGCTGCCAAAGCCTCAGTGGAAACATTAGGAAAATCTGTTTATGTTATTTTTATACTTTCCTTCTTCACATCCTTTTGCTTAGGGACTTTGGCATTTATTCAGCCTTTATTTTTCATGTTACATCTGCTTTAGTTGCCTGAAGCACTGAGGCTCAGTGTCCCTTTTGTGTCTGTTGTGTCTGCGGGTTCTTATGCCCACATGCTGTTGGTTTCAGATGTACATTTATTTCTTGTGTGGTAGTGGTGAAACTGTGTTTGGAGCACAGAGAATGTGGAGTGTGCCACAGGTGATGTGATGGAGAATAAGGAGGAAAATATGAAAAGCAAACAACCAAAAAGGGAATTTTTGGTATCTGAATTTTGGTGCTGAGGGTTGCTTACTCCAAATGTAGGCATGGTGCTTTAACCTGGATGATAGACTGGGAGCAGAAAAATTTTGCATATCCCATTTTCTGTCCTCCCTTTTATCTGTAAAAGAAAATACAGCATTTCCTTAGGAGACACTGGAAATGCAAGGTAGAAAATCCTGTGATGATGGACAGCTCAGTGAGACTTTGATGCAGTCTGCAGCTACTGCCTTCTGAGTTTGAAGCACTGTTTGGAAGCACTGCAACTGTTTAGCAGTTTCTGGGCCATTCTCTGTGGAGAGTTGTTTTATCCAGGTTAGAGAACAACAAGGAACGACAAGAGCCTGATGGCAAGAGTGTAAAAAACAATTCAGAGGTGATCTCAACAGCCCTTTGTGATGCTCTGTGAACAGTGAGGACCTTACCTTGTAGCAGCTGGACAGCAGGGCATAGGCCAGGATCCCTCTCTGCAGCTTGTGGGGATGGCTTTTGGTGTGTTTTTGTACATTCCCTCTTCCCAGTTTCTTTGTCTATGTCCCAGTTGTGCTGGGGAGCAGAGAGGTGCATTTTGCCCCATGCAAAGATTGCCACGGGCAGTGCTGGAGGGAGGTTAATGAAGGATCTGTAAGAGGCTGTGTTGGCCCTGAGGCTTGTTGTTATCCACATCAGAAGCTCAATTGCTATGCATGAGCCATACCTGACTAGACTGATATTTGGTCTTTGAGAGCACATTTAAAGTGTAGTGAGGTCTTGTGCTTTGATTTCTGGCATCACAAGTTCCTGATGATCCTGATGAAGAGCCTTGCTTTAGCACAGCATTGGTTCAGATTAGCCTCTGACTTCTTGGAAGTAGCTGAGATGTTGGTCATTTATTTGCAGCCAAAGAAAAGTTTTGTTTGCCATCCTGCATCCCTCTTTTCACCCTTGTGGGTTTTCTAAAATATTTCTCTTGTGGAGAGAAGGTAATTTGCTTTTTTGAGGCAACTTCTCAAGGTTCCTTCCTCCTTTTGGATGCAGCAGCCATGATGCCTGCATTAAGTGGAGCTGTTGTAAATAACAATCTGTCCTGCAGCTCTTCTGTAGTCAGTCTCTACAAGCTCATAGGGACAGAAATGCTCTGAAGTACTTCCTTAAGACTTTGGAGGATGCTATATGGACAAGAAGAATGTTGCCTTTTCCAGGCTTGCTCCCAGTGCCTCCTCCTTGCTTGGAAATGGGGGTGGGAGCCCCGTTGCACACCGTGAAGACTGTGCTGTGGAGCCCGGTGTGGATGTGCTTGTGCTCCCTAGGGTGTAAAGGGAAGGAGGGGCGCTGGAGTGCGATGGATTGTCACTGAGTTGCTCTAAAGGTGGCAGTAACTGTAAAGGTTGAGGAGCTGCTTAGTCCTGGTACTTTCTTCCTGAAGCATTTAGTTTCTGGATCAATGTATTGGCCTTTCAGTTTGGGACGTGTTTGTTCAAATACTGACTGATTTAAAAGTAAGGAGATTTGGATGAGCAGGAAGAATAAAAGGAGGAACCCTTTACTTCTTCCCCTTCCCCCATGTGTTATTCAGCCCTTCTAAGCATGTGATAGTAGAGAATGTGCCCCTTCAACAGGGGTGTGAGTCAGGAGGTGACAGGTTTTTCATGTCTCAAATGACAGGAGTCATGTCTGGTTGAGCTACTGTTAGCTAGAACCCCACTGCCATTCTTGTGAAACCATCATGCATCTTGAAATTCCTTTTGCTCTCATAAAATTATATGTTTTAAAAATCCATTGTCTTGCATTTAGGATAGCAAATACTCTTGTGCTGTCTGAGAAGAAGGAGGATAACTCAGTGTTGCTACATGTGTGGTTGTCTTTAATTTCTCTAGATTGCATGAATTTATATATTAGGCTCATTTTAATCTCTAGCATATCATGCTGCAGGTACAAGGTATACTTAATTTAATATCCTGGATCAAAGCTTGCAGGGTATGCAGATTGTCAGATGTGTGTTCATACACAGTACTTTTGCTTAGGATACACAGGTGAGGTTGATTACAAGTAAAGATTGTTCTTTGCCATATGATTGTTCTAAAACTTTTACCAAGTTTGGAGTCCCCTCTCAACTTTATGTCCTGGGTCACCTTGCCTGAATTGAGCTGCAGATGTTCTCTGTATCCCCAGGGGTTGCACTAAGTTACCAGCTCCGTCAAATCAGCAGAAATGAAATCTCCAGCATGGGGGACATGAGCTGAACTGATTGTCAGATTTGACCAGACTGTTACAGTGATGTCACTGCATAAGTGATCATCACCATGTTCAGGACAGAGACCTTGGATATTCTACTGAGGCAGTGGACTAATCACAGTTTTACTCTGTATATGTTAAAGTATTGACATTCTCAGTAGAAAATGCTGGCAAAGCACCTGAGCCTTTGACTTCCTGCCAGTAAACCTGAGTGGTGCTGTTATCTACAATTTGAATGTTAGTCCCTGTGTGTTTTCCAGCTGATAACTCACTTTGTCACCTTTCTGCATATACTTCCTCAGTAGCTGACTTTATTTCATCAAAACTTTGTCAAAAAAAACCAGAGTATAAATTCTGAGTCTTAGGTAAAGCTGATGAAACCTAAGATTTGTCTTTCATGCCCTTCCAAGGCCAAAATGAAAGTAAATCCTAATATCCAGTAAAGAGGATTCTGTGCTCTTTCTGTATTAGAAACAGCCAGAAAAGCTCTCTGCTAAGATAAAATCTTTTTCAGGAGTTCTGATATAGCTCCAGAGGACTGATCCTGTGTGCACAGCTTTGGTCAAGTTTCTCCTCACAAAACTCTGTATTTTGATGCAGACACTGAACTTTAAAGTTTTTTGACTTCAAATATATTTGACTTCAAAATATATTTGAGTATATTTAACATTCTTAGATTTAATGCTGATAACCCAGTTTGAAATGAGATCCTGAGCTTCTTTTTACATTTGTAGTGTGATCACTTTCAGGGGAGTTGCTTTGGTTGGGTCCAAGACAGAAGCTTGCTGCAGCTGAGAGCCTCAAACAGTGTCAGTTTAACTTTGTTATCTTCTGCTTGTTGCACTCATTGCTGCCCTGGGTGACCTTTCATCATGGGAACTGTCCTTTTCACCCGGGCTTCTGCTGGCACTTGGCCACAAGGCTCAGTCTCATCTCGAGGAGCATCCACACTAAGTTGTGTGGATCTTGTGCTTATGTGTAAGGGTGTGAATGCCCTGTTCCAGCTGAAATTGTCGAGGGCAGGAGCAGTGGTCAGCTGTCCTGCACTAGGGGTGTTGCAGAGAAATCAGAACAGCCCTGTCTGGGCGAGTTGTACAGATGTTGTGTGCTGTCAGCCTGGCACGGCTGGGGCTTGGGGAGCTGTGCACACTCACTCTTGTGTCCTTTCTGTGTTGGTTCCATCCTTTGGTGTGAGCCTGCTCTGTTCTCCACAGAGTCTGTGCTGCTGTGGCTGCTGGCCTTGAGGCTTTGCTGGGAATGTTCTGTCTGTGGGTTCAGCCTGGGACAGCCTCTTTCTTCCAGACCCTGCTGCCACTGTTTGTTCCTCTCCGTTTCCCAATTTTTTACTGCTTAAGCAAGTTGGCCCAGCTGTAAGCTGTGTGATGCTTAATTCTCACAGCAGGAAGACAGCCCTGAGTTGGCCAGCAGATGCAACACTGCTTGTCTGTTTGGCTGTGATGCTGAATTGTGTAGATAAGGCCTTAGGGGAAACATAAAGTAAAAATTGATTTTTAGTTTGCTGTGGATATGGTGCAAGTCAGGAGAAATCTCTGTGTTGTCTTTAAGGCAATGGAGCAATTTCCCTCCGCCTCCACCTGCTCATGTTTGAGCATTGCTGAAAAGGCTTTGTTACTACCTAATAATAGACAATAAAGTACAAAAAAATCAATGAAATCTTACATTTATTAATAAAGTCTCATCTTCTCTGGGAGCTGGTGAGCAGTCATATTTTGAGAATGAATACATGCTGAGGCAGAAGGCTTTAAGAAGCTACCTTTTAGCTGGTTTTCACATTTTTCTAGCTCTATTTATTGGTTGTTATGACGTGCAGAGGATTTGCAGTGCCACTTGGGGTACTTTAGGTGGGCAAGGTGAGGTGAGTAAAGGCAACAGCTGTGATGCAGAAGGAGAGCTGCTGTTTTTACAGGTGCATCCCTGTGACTGTACCTGTGCTGTTTTTTCTGGAGTTTGAAGATAGTTAAATGTTGACATGATATTTTAAGGAAATAAGACATTTTCTGTTATCTGGCACCTTTAAATGAAACTTGGGACATCCTTGACAAACTCAGATGACTTTGAAATGTCCCAGTTGAATTAAGTGGAAATCCTATGAGTATGGCTGGGATGGAGTATGGCTGGGATGGTATGGGATTCTGGGTGCTCTTCTGCTGGAGAAGTGAGACAAATCACCTGGAAATTGCTGATGGTAAATGATTTTTCTAAATCTAAACTTTTCTTTTGACACCAAAATGGTAAGTGTCGAAATAGGCTTCTTCTGTCTCTTTAAGTGCTTCAATGCAGGAGAAAATCAGCATAAATGTTGACATCTAAGCTGTCAAGCTTAATTTTTATGGGTAAGACTCATTGAGGTGAATCCTTGACAGTTGTTTTGAGGTTCTTTGAGGTTGAGAAGGAGAGCACAGTATCTTCTGCTTGCATTTGGAAAGTGTTGCTGGACGTCATTTTAAAGGCAGTTAGCACTGCAGCATAAAGCTGCGGGCGCCAGGAAAACAAACTGGCTGACAGTGTGACAGAGCTTGACTTCTGAACAAAATAGCATCAATGTGAAGTAAACAGATAATGTGGGTTTGGCTGGGATTTGTTCAGAAGGTTAGGACAGCAATTCTCAAAGACATCAAGTGTGCACCCTTTCATTTGATAGTGGGGGCTCTTTGATATGCCATATTTCAACTTTATATATTGAAATCGCAATTATTTTCTGTTCACTTTGGCCACACATGGTCACAGAGGAGGGGGAAAATGTCCCTGTGTGAGGGCTCATGCCCTCAGTGGCACAGTGTGGACTCCTGTCACGCTGTCTTGATTGAGCTGGAATTAGCTGTGACACTGCTGTTGCACGGCTTGGAACACCAACCTTTGTAGAGTTATTTTAACTGCTGCATTTCCATCATATTGCTGCAATCAAACCCAAGGCTGTTGCTCCTCTAAGTGATATTGCAGGTGCTTAATACAAATTATCTACTCCTTTGGTTTTAAGGAGCGAATTCTGACAGCACGGCTCTGAGGAATTTTTTTGCAGACATTCCAGTTACTTGTTATCCTGATGAGGTATTATTCACATATTTTCTTTTTCCATGCTTCACCTCTTCCTTTGTCTTTTCATTATTACCAGGAATAAATCTGTGGCTTTTATGCTGTGGTTATTTTCTCAGAACCCAATTTTATATCTCACCTGAAGTCACCCTACTTCTCGTTTTATGGCATTGCAGCATCTCTTGGTGATGCCAAAAAGAGCAACTTATATAGTTCCAGTGACAGAGAAATACTGTAAACCAGTGGAATCAAATAGATGGCACCGGGGTTTGGCCTTGCCTTCTCTTCTGCCATTTCCATGGCAGGGTTTGGCCTGACAAGCCACACTTTGAGGCAGAAGTGTGCTGTTCTCCCAGTCACCTGTTTTTGTCTGGTGACCTTTAATCCTTTTGGTGGATACAGTGTTAGTTTTGGTATGCTGACTATATGTGGGGTTTTTTGTATGTAATGTTTTGAGACAAGAATATATTGTCTTGCCAGGTATTGGGAAGGACAAGCTGCAGGATGAAGAGTGTTGGTACCTAGAGGACAGGCAAGACTCTGGGCACAGCAGAACAGTACTTGTCATTTTGTCTGCAAGGGGAAATAAGGCATTTTTGAGGCTGGGGAAGGAACAGCCTTCGATTCCTCACTCAGTAGCTGTGTCTCCAGTGCTTGCCATCTATATACCCTGCTTGCCAGTGAAAAGTCAGGAGTGTATTTCTGAAATGATCATCTGTGACATATATAGCACTGATCAACTTTCTTTTGTTTTTACACTTCACTTAATGAGTGTTTTTCACCTCTCTGAGTTACTGCTTTGGGCCGTGCTCAGACCTAGGTGGGTGGGAGGTGCTGCATTAAGGTGTGTTTGGCTTGCAGACTGATGGAGAGGGGAGTTCACAGTTGTAAAGCACAAAGACTTCTCCCTAGAACCCTTCTACTTTACTCTTACTGCCAGAATGTAAGTACATTCAGTGTAAACACCAGGCAGCGAAAACATTGGGAAAACCCACACCTGAGCTCTGGAGTACAGTTATGAAGCAATTTAACAAATAAATCACAGTTACAGTGTGCTAGAGCTGATGTAATTGTCTTTGTTTTCTGCTTTCCTTTTGTGTAGAAAGAATATTTGTGTGCACATGCAGAAAAAAATATGCATGTGTGTATAAATGGGGGTGTTTTATCCTTAAAATATTTTGGGGCTTTTTCTGTTTCAGTGTTGTCAAACTGTGTGTAAAAGTGGTTTGTACATACATTTTAAAAATGAGCAAACTGTTTAAAACTCGCACAACGTAATGTCCCCTCTCTTTTCTGTCTTACCTAATAGTGATAACCTGCTACGAAGAGCTGCATGCCAAGAAGCCCAGGTAATACCACTTAAAGTAATAAAATTAGATTAAAATCTCCCTATTATCTTGGTTGTGCATGGCTCCTGAGATTTTCCCAGCGGGCCTTTCCTACATGACAAGCCTTATAGCGATGCCAGTCTGTGTTCTTTCCCTTAATGCCCAGGGCTGCACAGGGGGTACTGCCCCTTGTGTGTCCTGGCTGCTGCTGCAGGGGAGTGCAGCGTTACCCTTGGGGTGATCTTAGTCACTGCTGGAGCTACCCAGACCTCCACTGCTGCACATGAGCCTGTGAACTTCTGGTGGGAAGATGATTTGTTGATAAGAGTGAAATCCCAGCCCTGCCAGGGGATGTAGTCTGGGCAGAAGCAGCACAAACCGCTTCATGTCAGTGCTCAGCTGCAAAGACCTCGCCCTTGTCTGTTTGACCCTGAGTGATTTTATCAGAGGGATGCCAGCTGTGATGGCTGACTGACCCAGCTCTTTTGGCACCCATGTACTGGGAACTTAATGGGTGACAGCATGGTTGCTGATCAGTGACAAGAAGGCCACTGCTGCGGGGGGAGAATTACTCTCTCAGGGTAGCATTTCATAGTTTGTTGCCTGCATGGGCAAACAGCAGTCTACAAACTCCCATACTGTAATATTCCCACAAAGAAATCTTGTCCTTAATAACCAGTCTTTTGGAGGTGTAAGTGCTGCTGCCCATGGGTGACATCACTTCTGTAAGATTTTAAGTTTTTACCTCCCACAAATAAAGTTTATTCTAAACCTGCTTGTTCATGACAGATCTTTGACATTTTGCAGGGTGTAACGCTTCTCCCACCATTGCTACATACTGGGGCCTGAGTAGAATGGTAAAATTATTTTTTTCTCGGTACAGAAGTGTTGTGCACCTGAATTATTCCAATTTCAGTAATTTTTACTGCATAATAATAAAGTGATAGAAGTTTTTTATAGCACAAAAAATAGCCACTAATACCTCCGTATTTGAAGCATGCTGACCAAATTAAACCAATTTTTTTAAAAGGTGCTGATGGAGTGGTTTGTGTGTACTGTCAAAAAGGTGTAAATGCCAAGGAAAGGACTGGTACTAGCAGAAGTTCAGTTGTGGAAATCCTGAATTTCCCATTTCTTAAGTCCAGTTATTAAGTGGCAGGTTCTATTCCATTATGACTCATTCTTGAAAATTAAAATACAAAAGCACTGTCAGTAGAGCTTCCTGCAATTTTAGTGGTTAAAGCCTGGGAAAATGTCCTGCAGAAGACTCCTGCACTAGAAAGGAATGAACCAGAAAGCCTAGTAATCAATTCTTGCTGTAATTTCCATTCTAACTGATGTGTCAGTGCCAAGTACTGCTTGAAAACACACAGCAATACTGCATTAAGGCATTAAGTGTCTGGTATGTTCTTCAGGATAACAACAATCTGAAATTGTTTGAAAAATGCTACTTGCTTTTATAGTGCTGCATATAAGTATTGGAAAAAAAATAGAGGCAAATTCACTGAAGAAAAAGTTTAGTCTGGATGAAGTGTGTGTGAAGTTCTTACCGTTTTTACATTGGACTTTTAGATTTTTAAGCCTGTTACATTATCAAATTGATGAGGAACCTGCCTTCCTGAGAAAGTATCCATGACAGCAGTATTTCCTGCAAAGGTTCTGCCACGTGTGTCTGGATTTAAATACCAGTTTATAATGACAACCTTTGTGTGGCAAATGATTATGGAAAGATTCTATAAGAAAGAGCCCTTTAGTCATATTTTTAACATTTTAAACTTCTGTCTCTGGAATAAGTCAGTGTCAGCTGACTCGGACTTCTGTGGCAAATCAGTCTTGCTGATTGACCCTTTTGTTGCTGAACTCTGGGCACGTGTTAAAGAGGTGCTGTTTAGCTGACAAACAATTCACTCAAGGATAGTTTTCTGTAAAAGAATGTAGTTTCTTTGCTGGTATTCATAAAGCACTATAAAAGCTTTGTATAAAGGGTTTTTCATAGTTGTTAAATAGTGATTGTCATTGTAGGAGTCCAGAAATACAGTACCTGGAAGTGTGCATTTGACAAGAAAGTGAAAAAGGCATTGACTTACCTAAATTATACCTTCATATATATATATTTAATTACCATTTATGTGGTATGACTATTAGTTGTCTTTACTTACGTTCTGCTCTGAAAGACTTCTAGAATATTGTATTATTATTTTTTTATTTCCTGTCTTACAAATCAGCATTTGCTTTAGAAATGTCCCTGTATGTAACATAAATGTCTAAGTATATTACATGAGGAAGCAATTATGTCATTACTAATAAAATCTTTATGAGCCTTGTTGGGTTGTTTAGAGCCTTGTTAGATAGCATGCAAATACATCATATCTGCCCCCTAAGCAAATAATCAGTTGTTTCTAACAGCTGTAACATGCTAGAGGTCCCCTATTCCCCAATTCCCAGCCAACAATTGCAATATAATAAGTTGGTGTTTTCCAGCTGATCTCTGAGTAACACTTAAGAGCTATTGATTTGTTTCACTTTCTTTGCAGATTTCTTTACTCTCAGCAACTTTTCTCATCCTTTTTCTTGCTGAAGAAGAAATTCAGATGTTTTAAGCAGCACAGCCAGTTGTACCCTTCTTTAAATTGAGGTTTCCTGAGCTCAAATTTGCAAGTGGAATTAATAATAAGTTTGAACAGCAAACAACCACTAAAATATATTCTTTGTGTACAGTATCACCTCCTTCAATATAAAAATTCCTGCTAGGGGTTTAACTTCTAAGATAAAAAGGAAAAAAAGCCTGGGACAGTTGACTGGGCCCCTGTTCAGCACTGGTTCCTACTCTTTCTGGGGCTTCTGGATGGTATTGCTGGATACCTTGTATTCCTTGTGTTCAAATCCAGTTTGATTAGGTGTGTTAGTGAGGATGCCTTTAACTGACTTTCTAGAGACTTAGAGCAGGATGTAACGTGTGAGGACGACTTGCATTTTCTTGCTGTGCTGAACAGTTTTGGAAATAGGTACAAAGTGCAAGAGACTTTGTGGAGGAACTCTCAAAAAATTTAAAATTGAGATCCCTCTTCAGAATTGGATTAAAAGTTGGAGAGGAATTGAATGACTTTTATAGAGAGAGATTAGTTTAAAAAAAATGTAAGAAACAGTGGACTTGCTTATAGGTCAAGGCAGATTCTCTTGTAATTATCTTTCCTGTCTTCAAAAACTGAAGCATAGAAAATAATAAAATAAATAGAAGAGATAGAGCAATTCAAGTTCAGAAGTTGGAAAGAATGCAGAGAGGTGGCCGGCAGGTGTATGAGAATTACATAAGGAAAGAAAATCCCATAACCTTGGAGTCAAGGAGAGCTCCCTGGATCTCTGCCCATTGCAGAAAACCAGAGGTTGACAAAAACGAAGTGGTGGTGGAATTGTAAAAATGAGCTAAAGAGTACTTATGACAGTGATGTGAGCTGCTGCTAAGAGTGCAGGTCTTTGAATAAGAGACCTGTACAATGGCTGAAGATGGAAGTCATTTGAATGTCATGAGGCTTGAAAGCCCATTGACATTTGTAGAGATGCATTTTTTTGAACTTGTTTTAGCAGTGTGCTTAAAAGATAAACTGAGCCCTGCCCTTTTTCTCTTACTTAGGCTTTTGGCAACCAGCTGATCCCTGCTACTATGCCATTGAAGAAAGCAACAGTCTTCCTCAACCCAGCAGCTTGTAAAGGGTAAAATTCCCCCTTCCCAGCATTCTCATTTGAGCCACTCTTTCTGCATTTTTGCTCTGCTATCCACTATGAAAGCCAGCCAGATTTTTGAGCTCATTTTTGCCTCCCTCTGGTGCCAAGCTGGTGCTATGTAACTATGCCAAACTTTATTTCACCAAAAGTATTGGGATGAGAAATAGAATTAGTTGCTTGAGGTGGAAGAGTAATTTCTAAATATATATAATTTCATTTTTTTTCTTTAATCTTGTGTTTTGGCTTTTGTCATTCCTTTGAATGTAGAATTTCTTTGTTTTCCTTCCAAACTTTTGCATCTGATATATTTCCATCCTCAAAAACTAGAAAAATGAGAGATGACCTTGATTGCTTCAAGACCTGAATTTGGCAAGAAGTGATCTTACTTCTGTGGGAACCTGCCCTTGACAGGGATGTGCCCACAAACTGAGAGGCTAAATATGGGCTCGGAGCAAGACTCCTGGAAGAGGTCTGCTGCTGTTTTTACATGCTCATTAGCAGAAAACCATAATCTTGGATGTGATGTGTGCCTGTTTCTGCTGATCAGCTAAGCTTTGGAATAGTTGCATTTCATGGAGGGGCAGAGAGTTGCTACTACCAATATGAGTGGAATGTTACAGATGACATGGAAGTGCTTAGACTCACGTGCTTCTGTGAGTCTGGAAAATGCATAGTATTAATCAAGTCTCATGTTTGCAAACAATTTATAGTTAGTGATATTTTATTATGCAATGACAGGCATAAAATTATCAGTCCTGTAACAAAAAAGGTCAGATAGAGTTTTGCTTCTACCCTTATTTAATAATATGCAGTAATAAATAATTGGGATTTTAAAAATATTTCTTAAAGCCCACATGAGCCTTCTTTGTGGTCCTAAAGGCTGGTACTTTGTAAGTTATTTGTTTTCTAATAAATTTCTTTCTAGAGATCTTAATTTGTTTTAATGGGTTTTTTAAATTATTTTTGGCAAAACTTAGATAGCATCTTGTGCATTTATTAAAACTGCAATAAAACCCTGGCATCTGACATATGAGACTAGAAATGTAATACATTTGAATCACACAAAATCTCATCTTTCCTGACTGTCAGGCTGAGCAACTGATTATGGAAAATGAATTCTTGGTTTTAAGTAGATTTCTTCTTGCTGTTTGTTTCTTTTTAAATTCTTTTCAGCCACAGCTGAAAAAACTCATTAAACAGTTCTTACTCTGTTATTTCTAGCAAAGCTGGGAACCTTTTTGAAAAGAATGCTGCACCAATTTTACACTTATCTGGCTTGGATGTAACTGTGGTTAAGGTAAGAGCTGATGGGTTCTGCTGCTGCAGAAATATTGACTGCTCTTCTTTCTCCTCTTGGAGAATTGAAATTCAAATCTGCATGCATTTGGAATTCTCAGTTGTCCTGTAGACATCTTACAGGAAGAAATAAATACTGAGATATTAAGCTGATACTTAATCTTTATAATTCACAGTTAGTTTTCAAGCAGTGTAGTGAGATTTTAATTTTCAGCTAAAGCAGTACATATGCTTGTTTGTCTGTCTAAAGCAGCCCTTCTGTAATTCATGTTTGAGAGAAAACTCTCTGAATATTTGAGTGCTGGCTAGTGGTGCATGCCCATTGCTGTTGAAATTGTCATTTTTGCCTGAACCTGAAGAATTGAAAAGTGAGGAATTTTGACATGCAGTTGAACTGTTCAGATTCATTTAAAAAATAACCTTTTATTTTCCCACTGAAATTATTTCTGTGTCTCTCCAAATAATTCAATGTTTCCACCATGTAAGTAGAATCAGCTTTAAATGGTGTGAATTAACAAACAGGTTTTATTTGGAAAGAGAAGAACAAGGAAACATTGAAGGGATTCTTACCTTTCTGCAGTTTTTTTGTGGCTGTGATATGTAGATTGCTTAAAAATCAGTGTGTCCTAACAGCAGAATACTCTGATATGCATCTGTCTGTCTTGGAATCTTTTCCACAAGGTTTGGTATTAAAATGCTGTTTTTATTAATCCCTTTCTCTGATCATTAAAAATACCTAGGCCCACCCTAAGAGACGAAATTATTTTGCAAGACTTAAAATAATGCTTAGTAGCATCAGACCTGACAAGTTGGTGAAATGGGGCTGGACAAGGAAGTGAGATGGCTCTGTAGAAGACTTTAATTTTGTAGAAGACAGTTTTGATGGTTTAAAAAGTCAGTACTCTTTACTGTTAATCCATTGTCCGTGGCTGTCAGGCAGTGGCCTTTTATGTAGTTGATGCTGTGATGCTGTGTTTCAGGAGACGCACTTGAGCACTTTGGCTTATAAAGGTAGTGAGAGTTTTTCTGCAAGTGGTTGGCTTCTGGTTTTGTTTCAATATAATATTACCTGGAAATAAGATGATTGCTATGGTATTCTAGGTCTATCAAATAAGATTTGCTCTGATATTTCACTTAACCTCTGTGTGTGTGTGCTTACTTACACATATTATATTGTACATCAAAATGGTTTTACCAGTTGAAAAAAAAAATCTGATTGTAAGTATTATACAGTACTGTGTGCCTGTATAAAAATAACTATTAACCACATGGATAGATGATCCTTTTTTCTGTAAAAGAGATATACTAAAAATAGTCATTTGAGTCCTCATGTTGGGATCTCTGTTTCTTCAGACTGATTATGAGGGACAAGCAAAAAAGCTTCTGGAATTAATGGAAAACACAGATCTGATCATTATTGCAGGAGGAGATGGCACAGTCCAAGAGGTACTGCTGGAGCCTGGTTTGTTGGGAATCATAGCTGGGATGAGGGCAAGAAGACTGAGTCTGTGCAATGTAGCAGCATCATAACAACTGTTCCTAGAGATCTGTCCAGTTTAGTATCTGTATCTCACAAAATACTATAATATTCTGGGGACAGAACACTCTGCTCATTGGTATTAGTCTTAAAGATGATGGGAGTGGGGCAAAAACAGTGTGTGACATAACTGTCTTCCAGAACTTTATTCTAGAATGGGCAAACTCTTTGGAGGGATGTGGCTCTTTTTTTCTGTGTGATGTAGTTGTAATGGTTTGATTTTTAAAGTTTTTTCTTTTCTATATACTCCCTAATACAAATGCATATTTTGCTAAGTGGGAATCAGATAATTTAAAAATTACATGGGAATGATAACAAAGCGTGGAACATATTTAATAAATGTCTATTGTTAAGATGATTAATGACAGGAGCAGAACCAGGGGATGCTCTTTCTAAACTGTATTTTATTCAAGCAGGTCCTGGTTTCTAACTACTGATTTCATAAGACAATGGCTAAATTAATGCAATGACCTTAAGAGAAGGTGATCAGCATACATCTGCAAGTTCATTCTGGCCTTTTGTTACTTGCACTGACCAGTGCTGGTTTTGCATTATGCAGAGCATCATTCAGTGTTAAAACATTTACACTGGCATTGGTTGTGGTGCCAGCATGTACTCAGGCACGCTCATTAACCTGCTGTTTCTAACACATTTGCAGGCTGAGCGTTCCTCCCTTGCCATGTAAACAACTGTAGCACTTTCCATGAAAGAGTAGCTGCTCCTTAAATCTTCTCAAAGAGTAAACACAGTTAAGAATTTCATAGCTTTTTACTGTAACTGAAAAATAAATTAAAAAAAAATAAGCATTTCCCATGTTTTTCAGGTCATAACTGGACTTCTCCGTAGAGCAGATGAGGTGAGAAGGTGTCATTTTAAAAGTTGTGTTTATTTCTTGGAGTGGCTTGTGCATCCGCTGTGATCTCTTGGCCTCAGCTGCCTCCAGCAAATACTTACTAAGCTGGAGCCAGCTTGCTGTGCAACAGTCCAGCTGGGCTACTGGCCTGCAATGCTGCCTGTTGTTCTTTGTTCCCTTTCTGAGGGAGTGCAGTGACTCCCAAGCCATGGCTTTGGGAAGTTTCCAGTGTGAGAACAGGGATTGTGGAGAAGCCAAATGCTCAATTTTCAAAGACCCATGGACCAGCTGTGCACGCCACTTTGTTTGGCAGAAGTATTGGGCAAAAGTACGTGTTTTTCTTGTATTTGTACAGGCTTGAAACCGAATTTGGTTATGGTCACACTCCTTCTGCTTTGGGACTGTTTGCTGTTTCTTGAAGCAGTGCATACCTACCTATAGAGATGGTTGTACTAATCAAATTTTAACCTCTCAAGGTGGATCACTCTGAATGGAAATGAGAGAAATTTTTCTTTTTAAAGTGGGAGGACCGTGTTATTGAAGAAAGGAGGGAATCATTGTTCCCAAAACCTTCTGGCAGGAGCTGGCAAAAACTCAATTAAATGATGCAGACAAGATTATAATGATACCCTTGGCAGTTAGAATTGTATCAGTTTAGGCATTTGCTTTGTCTGAATGTGACAAGAGGAACTGTGCAACCAAGTCAATATTTTTAAAGGAAGGCTATTTATGTCAATTCTGAGACATCATTGTTTTAAATCTAATATTATTATGGTTGGATCCTGAGACTTTTATAATCGGACAATAGTAGAAGAAAAGTTTAGAGGCTTTACTGGCTAATTTCTCTTTATTTTTTTTTGGCTTCTTATCTTGATATAGCTTGGTTCGTTTTGCAGTAGTGTAGGAGATTCTGCATCCAGCACAATTATGGGTGGAATACTGTATTGTAGTATTGCCGCTGTGTCACTTCATGTCTTTGCCCAAGGAATTCTCATCCTTTACGTCACTCTGTCCTAGGATCTGCATTCGAGCTCCCTCTCTCTGTGCCCTGCTTCCCTTTTCCCTTGGGGGTGCCACACCACTGTTGTCTGCATAAGAGCCTATGCAAGGTGTTCCAGAAGCCCCGTTCCTAGCAGCCAGGGGAGCAGAGCCTGACTGCAGGAGCTGCAAACAGCCTCTCATTTGCACACCATAAAGCAGTGCTGAGGAAAACGAGAGCAGGGTATTTGAGAGTGTTGGGACTCACAGGTGACAGGGACACAGCAGGGGAGCGCTGTTGGGTGTGCAGTGAGCCCAGAATTCCCGAGTGGCTGCAGATTGGCTGTGTCCCTGTGCTGCTGGCAGCATTGCCCAGAAGGGAGGTGGTGCACTGGAATATGGGGTAGTGTACACTGGTTTGCTGACTTGCTTCAAGAAGCAAGATTTAAGATGAGGTACAGGGTAATAACTTGCTCCTTCAACAAGCCCTATTGCTGAACAGCGATACAGAAAAATAGCATGGTCAGTGACTTCCAAAAATTAGACCTTCTGCTGCTTCATGATTCAGATGGCAGAGGAATCAATTAATTTCCTTTCCTTAAGTGAGAAAATCTCTTTGCTGTGCAAGGTTACTCTGTCAGAGGGGGATTTCTGCGTTGGTAAATGGGATTCAGAGCCTTTGATGCCACCATCAGTATTAAGAAAGATGGCAGATTGCGGACAGAGTTCGTGCATTAGTTGGGATGTGGCTGCCAAAATGCATGTAACAATGCTCTTAATGATTACAGAGAGCTCTTTTGTAGCCGGTTGGCAGTGGTGGCTCCACAGATTTGGGTGCCATGTACTGAGTCATTGTGTGAGGAAGTGCCTGGCTGCTCAGTGCCAAAGGGGTGATGCCAGACACAGCTGTGATCTCCACACAGGAAGCTTCATGCAAATGTTAATTTACTCTCCTTATGTGTCCAGGCTGCCTTCAGTAAGATTCCTATAGGATTCATACCCCTTGGAAAAACTTGCACTTTGAGCCACACACTGTATCCTGAGAGCACGAATCAAGTCCAGTAAGTATGGCATGTTTCTGAAACATGGTTGTTTGTTTTCAAGGGAGCAGTGCTTCTTAGTAGCTTGATGCTTTTCTTTTTCTTCTGTGTTACATAGAAGTTGGCAGTCTCTGGGCAGAGCCTGATGATTCTCTGGAGTTGCCTGAGTTAATGACTTCCAAAAACTGACTAAAAATTAAAAGGAAATGTATGTATTATTAGAAATCATTTGCTGTGTCTAATTTCTCTGTGATCGTGTGATGCTCAGAGTTTAAAAAGAAAAAAGGATTAAAAGGATCAGCCTCTTAGGAATAGCAGGAAGGGTATGACAAGGATATAGCAAGGATATGACAAAATAAGCCAAAAATAAGTCCTCTTTCTGACCCTTCTCCAGTCTAAGAATTCTAGAAACCAGTCCACATACAGCCTGGTTAGGACCTGAAAAGTAAGGCATACAATATGGGGAAGGTTTTATCCCATTACTAACTTTTGCAGGGCAGAACTGACTTTTCCCTGTGGTGGGACTGATGGTGGCAATAATCCAACAACCCAATTCTTATCTTCAGCATCCTGGATATGATCCAGTCTGGTGGTATCTGTTGCTTGCAGTTCAGTTTGTTGCAGGATTGCTTTGTTCTCTTATAAAGAGAAAAGGGAGTCAAATAATCTTTGTTTTCCCCACACTTCATTTCTTTTCAATTTTTTCCTTCCTCTCCTCTCATTTCTTCTTGATCCTGAAATCTTTTCACTGTCACTCTCCCAGTAACTCATTAACATTGTTCTTTGTGGAACCCTTGCTGGTATCCATCATACATAAAACCCATGAGTCAACTGGCGTAACATTCTTCATTAAAACTACAAGAGTGCTTTGAAGCTCAGAAAGGTGGACAAGGCTGTAATCAGCAGCTGAGATTAAAATAATAATTTTTGTTTGGGTTCTAAAGAAGCTGATGAAATGGATGATCTTCTTGTCTCAAGGTAATGAACTGTGCAGGTAGGACTGCTGCACCTGGCGAAGCTGAAGGGTAATTTGGTCAATAGGCTGCTTAACGACTCACACCAGTAATAGAACCTGAATTAAGAAGTGTAGAAGTGATACTTTTCGAAGAAATATTTGGGTTTTGGTTCCTGCAGTACTCTCTTACTTTGGAGTGTAGGAACAGTAAAGGTCTTAGAGAAAGATAAGAGCTGGGAGAGAAGATGGCCTGTGGAAATAACAGCTTCCTTATCTGTCTCACTATTACAGTCCTGATGAAACCAGGGGCAGTTTCTCCCACTGATTCACATGAATCATGGGCTGAATCTGAAAACTATTTTTTTCCTTGTCCAGCTGAGACACTGGAAATGTATGCAGTGTGGAAACTAATTATTACCCAAGTTTGAAAACAAGGAAGGGGTTTCAATCAAGTGTATGCTTCAAGGTTTGAACATAGATTATTTAGTGGACTTGGACACTTTGGTTACAAAATCTTTACAGCTTGAAATGACAAAGTGCCCTGGCTACTGTCCACAACTTAATGCTTAATGGAGATCTAAACTATATGAGCACTGCTGATAGGTAGATTTACATTGATTAAAAACTTCAAAATAAATTAGCACATACTAAAGCAGTTAAATCTCAGACACCTAAGTTGAAAGTAGTCATGCTGTCCCATTCTCTCCCAGGCTCTAATAACTGCTACCACTAAAATAAGACCATGATTTAGGCCCTAAGCGTGTTAAGTATCCAAAACATGATGTAATACAGTTGGCCTCTGACCTGACAGGTTAGCCAAAAGCTTAGGCTGACAATTTCCTTTTGCTTTTTGTGTATTTTGCTGTTTGCTAGGTTTTGTCATGTGTTGCAGCCACCCATTTTGCTTTCTGATCTCAATTAAGTGCAGCACAATTCCCTGGGGTTTTTACTTTTACTGAAAAAAAGCCCCACCTGGACTCTTAGTGGAATTTGCTGGAAAAAAATAAAAGTAATTTTAAAGCTTATTCATTTCCTTTCTTCCTGTTTGTTTTCTTTGCTTACTGGTTTTCCTTTTTGCATTGCTGTTACAAATTTTGGTTTATGATATCAGCAGTTCTGCTGGCAGTGATTTCTCCACCATGTGGTGTGGCATCAGACAGTCTAAACAGGAGAAAACACTAGAATGCCTCAACATCACCTTTCTTTGAGACTCGGAGAGTATTGATGAATACAAAACTTACTACAGTGATATTTCTGTAGCAGTGGTGAGAGATAGCAGTAGCTACTGATTTGATGCACTCGTGTATTGTGAAGTTAATAGCTTTCTTTGACAAACTGAAAAATACAAAATGGGAAAACCTTTGACTATACCTCTTACGGTTTCTGAATTTTATTTTTCTGTTCAGTTGTAGAATGGACATTTCTGCAGCGAGTGTTGTGTCGATGTGCAGAGCTCCTTGCTATTGGCTAACAGTCAAATCCACAAAATGAAATGGCCATTGCTGGGTGTGCAGTCAAACTCAGGCTATCTGTTCCAAACTTCACCTCTTATATTCCTTCCTGGAGCAGATGGAATGTACAGTGCTCAGATTCTGCTAAGCTATATTGTTTTTCATACCTCTTCTGTTAAATTTCTGTATAGAAATTTAACATAAGTTTTTATGTAGAGATGCTATTTTTGTAACTCCAGAAAATAAAGCTGGAAACAAGGTAAGATAGAACAATTTTGTAACATCTATTTTTCTTTACAGGGAGAAAAGGAGCAGCCTGTGTTTGCAGTCTCTGGTTTAAGATGGGGATCTTACAGAGATGCAGGAGTTAAAGTTAGCAAGTAAGAAAATGCTGTTTTTTGAAACTGTACCATTTTTAGCATCTGTTGCCTAAAAAGACACACCCCCCTCTCTCAAGTAAGTCTTTTTTTTTGAGTGTAGGCATCTGACAGGCAGAGGCACCCACTCTTGCTATGTCTTGTATTACACAGAGGAGTGTAAGATGTATCAGAATTCTTGTAATTTGAAATAAAAACTTACTCAGTGCTGACCTGTTTTTTTAAGTATTTAAAAAAATACTTTGTGGTATGCTTTGTGGTATCTGCTTCTGGAACTTTACTGAAGGGAAAGTAACAGGGTGCCCCTGTTTCAATCTGAATAAAGTCTAAGTAAAGTAATTGGCCATTGTTTTTCATCATCTGCCAATGAAAAGCTGCATGAGTACTCTGAAACTCTATTCCAGCAAGGGACAAGATGCAGTATAAATTCCCTTCAGGTTCCTGCCAGAAATGGCATGGACTGTGCTATCTGATGACTGTTCCTCTGAATGCTAAACTCATAATTATTGGGCTTTCTCCAAATGGACATTTAACATGTCACTGTCTGTGTATCAAATGACGGGCATTATCTGCTGAAGGAGCAGCAGAGCCAAAGCAGCTCACTCCCCAAACTATTACGGAGGAAATGCAGCTGTAAGGAAATACTGTGCGCTCTGTGAATGAGCTGTCGTTGTCAGGAAGGAAGAAGTAGCAGACCTATGGAGTCTGTCTGGCAAATGTTTGAGTAGGTTTGAGAGATGATGTGGGATGGGGG